AATAAATAAATAAGTAAAAGAAATTCTGCAAGGTAGTAAGTTATAGCAGAAAAATGAAACCAGTTCCATGTCAATCTACAATAAGTTCACTCAGAACTAAGACATTTTATTTGCCTAGAGCAACCTTATCCATGCATGCGGCCCAGGACACTTTGAATATGGCCCAACACAAATTCATAAACTCTCTTAAAATTATAAGACTTTTTTTGCGATTTTTTAAAGCTCATCAGCTATCGTTAGCATTAGTGTGTTTCATGTGTGGCCCAGATAATTCTTTCACTGGGGCCCAGAGAAGCCAAAAGATTGGACACCCCTGGCCTGTAGTATTCTGTGTCTGAATTTTTAACGGATTGCCTATTCCCAGCATAATAATGTTTTATTGTCATTCTCAAGTTTCTAAGATATGACTATACAAACAGTAGAAATAAATTAAATATTTAAAAGGTAGAATTGTATCAACAGGCTTTTTTTTTTGGAGATACTATCGCTCTATCACCCAGGCTGGAATGCAATAGTACCATCTTGGCTCACTGCAACCTCTGCCTCCCAGGTTCAAGTTATTCTCCCCATGCCTCAGCCTTCTAAGTAGCTGGGACTATAGTCCTGCACCATCATACCCAGTTAATTTTTGTGTTTTGAGTAGAGATGGAGTTTTGCCATCTTGGCCAGGTCTCAAACTCCTGGCCTCAAATAATCTGCCTACCTTGGCCTCCCAAATTGCTGGGATTACAGACATGAGCCCCCATGCCCAGCACTCGATAGGCTTTTAATCTAGCTTCTAAAGTGTAAAGAGTCCTGAAGGATATATTAATGACGCATATTTGTAGGAAACAATCATTTCATATTGAAGACCAGTACCTTCTCAAAACTGCCACAGCAGATGAATTTCTTCTAAGAGGACATCAATTTGGGCCTTTATTATACCCTGAGTTTAATAAGTGAGAACTTCACAGCATTATATGTAAAAGCATTTTGAAAAATAAGTATAATTTTAATTCCTATATGAATTTATTGTTCAATATGTTTCAAGAAAAAAAGATGAAGCAACTCACAGTTTTTAAAAATGTAAAAATAAAATTATCCAAACGGAAGCCTTGGATGAGATTCTACTGAATGACTCTGAGCTTCCTTGCAGCCAAAGCAAAAGAGAAATGCAAAGTATTATTTCTTTTCTTTTCTTTTGACTGACAAGAAAAAACATACAAGTTCATGTGAAAAACCTACCTTTTCACATGAACTTGTATATATTATCTCATTTTAATCATTTTCTTTTTATATGTTTTAGAATTATAAACATTATATGTGAATGCGAGATGTTGCATACCACAATGGACAAATCTTTAAATTGCAGTTTTTGAAGATACCTCAGAGGCACTCTTAATATAAACATTTTTTTAATGAAAAATTTAAGAAAGTAAAGTTAATTATTGAGCTTAACTCCTAAATTAGTGGAGTTGAGCACGTCACCAACCCTTGTTCTAACTTGATTCAGGGATTTCGCTTAGACAGACTAGAGCAGCATTTCTGAAAGGGTGTTTAGAAGATGTCCTGCATCAGATCATTCAAGGCTGTTTTTCAAAGGTGAGGATTTCTAAGTCCCTCTCTAAAACTACTAAATCAGAACGCCGGTATAGATTTCAAAACTCTCAATTGTAAATAAGTTATCCTGGTGAATTGTGTGTCTGTAGTGCTAGTTATTAGTACTCTTTCAGGATCAAACCCACTCTTCCATATTTGGCCTTGTGATGCTGAAGCCGGTGTGGGTAACCACCAGT